TGCAGGGTGTGTTTTGCGCTGACTGTCGTGCTGGTGGTTGGGGCTGATGTGGACGTCTGCGTCAACACGGCGAGGACCGCGGGGTTTCCTCGGTTATGTCTAGGAAGCAGCAAATGGCTGTTTTCTTATGCGTATCACTTCAACCGTCAAACCTTAAAAAAGAATACTTCGAGCCGCTTCAGTGAGTGAAAAACATTCCTGGCTTTTACAATCAGTTCCTTCCTCCTGCTTCTGGATGACTTCATCTCAGGGTTTTGAATGGAATACCACCAAGTGGGCTCATGTTATATCTTGGAATTAAAACTATTGTCAAGAGTCCTTCAGATATAACTGATATAATCATATATTAAATAATAATGATAACAATATAATAATACTATGCTACTGAAGGAACAGTCGCTGCTTTTTATGTTGTTATTATGTCTTTAACCATCCGGCCATGATGCCATGAAAAAAATATGTGCTGAAAAGTAAATGTCCCTGAAATTAGATTCCTAATCTGTCTCCACTACAGATGTCTGCAGACATCCACATAACATGTAATCATGGTTGTATGCACCACAGCGCTCACTGCCAGCTACGAAACATGTTCAATTATGGAATTTCACCAGTAAGCTGAGTTCAAAGCACAAAGCCATAATTGAAAATTACAATATATTTGAAACAGGAAGCTGAAGTGAAACCCTTTTCATACACAGTAGCCTGTTGAAGGAGATGACTTTCCGAATACAAACTTTGAACCAAACAGGAAGTGGCACAAGAGGCCTGGAAGACCGACACAGGGCAAAATTGTGGAAGCGGGTAAAAGCTGGAATTCACTGCAACAATCCTTCATTTCATATGAATGACTACTACTACGTTTTGCAAACCTAGATTGCCCAAATTTGTTCGCCAAAACAATCTAATCGACACACTTATTCCACAGCTCACTGCAGCTCCGTCTGTGGGCTCATAACATGTTTCATGCCACTTTGATACAACATTGCTAATCTTGGAATTTGTTTAATCTTAGAGTTTCCCATCATACGTAAATGGATAAAATAAAATGTGCTTAAGCTCGTCTGAGGGTATCAGAATTCAGTAACATGACCCTGATGTTTTGGCTGCCTCATTCAAAATGGCCGAAGGACACTGATGTAGAAATGCTTCAAGAGAGCTCCTGTGTCGGTTATTTTTGGAGGGCCAATTAATGTCTTTTCTCTTTGTGTGCTCCAATGACTTTGATCACTCCAAACAAATTAAGATTTAACTGTTTAGATTGCAAACAGACTTAATTAACCATAATTTTGCCATAGTAGTGTCATTACTCCTTTAGAAAATATGATACATTACTTAAAAAATTTCTGTTTTGACAAGAATTGATCAGATATTTTCTTATGATAATAGCAGTTGTAAATCAGAGAGTCTCACATTGAAATTTTTCTTCCAAAGATAGATATAAAAGTTCCTCGGTAAAACAACAGCTCTGACATATCTGAGCCCTTCATGAAAGCGAAAGGTGGAGGAGGAAGTTGGCTGCAAGCAGAACCGTTTCAGCTGCCGTGGGTTGTATTGTGGTCTCGGTTAAAACAAACTAAACTAACTGAAAATCTCACATGGTTAAAGGGAGTTTTTTTTTCTCTATTTAAAAAGAAATGATATTATATCAGCCCTGGCATTTACAGATGTGACTTAAATAGACATTGAACTTCTGAGGGGGGGATTTCTATTGTTGTTCCATCGTGGCTCTCATGCTAACTGACATTAAGAGTAAAGCTAATAAATGAACCATTTACTGTTTTTAGAATTATGGTTGATTGAAATAATTGTGCCCGCCTAAATTAATGTAACACTGGGAGTGTCAAAAAAGGTAATAAATCTGTAAGAGAGTAGGAAGATCAAAGAGGAAATAGAAAGAGGAATTAATGAAAGAAACTCTAGGGAAATGAGAAAATGTGGAGACACGATTGGAATTCTTAAAAACCAGGAAATGCAAAGTGTGACACTGCAGCAGTTTTTGGGGAAAAGGTTTTATCACCAACCACGGAAACCAAACACAGGGGAAGCAAAACTTGTTTCACACGCATCAACCTAAACAATGTCCCGCTGTCCATGGCATGAAGCTCTTCCCATAAGCAGAAAAGATTCAAAAAGAAAAGATGTGTTCAATCGACTTACACTCACTGAAGATCATACCGAGTAATACAAAGGCAGATATGGTCACTTAGTTATTGTGTCTTTATGTTCCCTCAAGACAAGGCACAAATAACCAAAATGAAACATGACGAAGAAACAAAAAGAGAAAAAAAATAGTTGTAAATAATTAATGATAACTTCCTCTGCTGAAAAGAGAGATCTCTGGGGGCCACTGTTACACAAACTAAACTAAACTAAAACTAACAAAAAACTATTGGTGACTCCAAATCATGCAGAGCCTCTGTGAGCACAATAGGACTGATTTCAGTTCAATTCCAGGTCTGATTCTGGTGGAGCACCTTGGCTCTGCCCTTCTATTTTGCAAAGGTAAAGCACCCGTTGACTCATTGTGGACTCAGTCCTTAACGGAACAAGAAGGAGTCCCTTTATGTGCAGGAACGCAGAGGTGTGTTGTTTCAAAATCTGTCCATCAAAAAAGTTCAATGGAATAAAACGTTTTTGATTCAGTGTGGAAAGTTAAAGTGATCAATAAAATTGCATGATCAGCTGTTTACTTTAGTGAAGCACATTCATGTTAACGGGTTCCCACCATTAAATTAAAAAAAAGACTAAATAAAGTGGTCACAACTGATGTTGGGAGCTAAAATCAGACTTAAACTGCTGATTCACTTTGAATATTTCAGTTCTACGTTGAATTTCCACAGAAAGAATACTCTTTGCGTTCATTGTTCGACTCCATCACGGTGTGTCTATATGAGTAACTAAAACAGGAACCCTGCAATGTCTGCGCTATTTTAGGACTATCACCTCTGTCTGCGGTTAGTCTGAGTAATACTGATATTTAAATGTGAACCCTCATGATGTATTATGAGTTACAAATGTACAATTTTACAGATGAAGTTTAAGAAAAACGAAAAAAGTCACATCAATCTGTATGTATATTTAGGCCTGGCATTTGCAGCAGAAGTGGGAGGGCGCTGGCATTTGATTCAAAAGGGGAATTCGTGCCATTTGATGGCACATTTCGATGTATGTCACGAGGACCCGGGCTCGAACTGAGATGCTATTTTTAAAAGCAAGAATGTGCCGAATATTATCAGACGTTTTCAAATGTTAGCTCTCCCTTTCAAGTGAGTGACACACAATGGCTTACGTTCAGACACACAAGGAGCACATTTCTCTGGACCAAATCTCTGAGTTAATCTGTGCACTTGTAGCGCTTCATTTGCATTTCAGCATGGGAATTCCCACTTTGCTCCCATCTCACCTTTGACCCCTACTTTGTCCTCGTAGCTGCTTAACCAAAGAACGGGTGGTAAGAGGAAAATGTGGGAGACACCTTGGAGAGACAGTGGGTGGGTGAGTGAACTTTGAGCAGGGGAACTTGGACAGGTGTGTGAGATGTGACTGAAAAGCAAAGTGGGCATGAACGAGTGTAGTGTGTGTGTTGTTTGTCGGTGTGCATTTCTGGAAAAGTGGTCGGTGAGTGATGAGACCAGACCGGCGTGATGGAAAGCCCAGTCGACTGCTAACACAAACATGCCAGGGGGAGAGAAAAAAAAAGTGGGGTGGGGGGTACGGCGAAGAGGTCACAAATGTGGGGGAGGGATGATCTAGTGGAAGAGTGTTTTACGTCAGGTTTACCACAACGAAAACTGTCATCCGGGTACTGATACTGAGCAGCATTGACAGGGTCGAGGATCTGTTTACACTGGAGTCCATTATCAAGTTTACTCGGCAGTGAATACATCCATATTTTGCCATCGGACCCCCTCCCCTAAGCCTAAAGAGGAGAAACTTGGCCTCTATTGAGAGGGCCTACGGGTTTTCGGAGATGTTTCACACACTTGGAAAACAGTGTGGTGTGTGTTTTCCATCATTATCATAATTGAGAGTGACTGCTGTGCGTATGAATGGGGAGGTGTTCGGCTACCCCCCCTTTCAAAAAATCCTCATTTGACAAATGAATGAATGAGGGGCTGGGCTCGGGGCTCCTGGGGAACGGCCGGGGTCAAACGCGGCAGATAAAGGGGGTGAGCTGGCTGCCGTGTGCGCTGTCGTAGTCCTAATCCCCGCCCGGGACCCCGTGCCAAGTCAAACACGTCCGTTCTAATCCGGCCGGCCTCTAAAAAAGAGACGAGCGGTGAACATGCCACAGATGAACAAGTTATTGTCCACGGTGTTTTCTTCGGGGTTCCGAATGCTGAGCTGTTCAGTGAGGATCTGGCTGGCCCAGGCTCAGGGAAAAGGTTACTCCATGTCATTGGAATCTGTGCACAATGGACTCAGGCCCCCCTTCCTCCAGCCTGTAGCACCAGCCTGTGAACCCCACTGCAAGAACACCACACCATCATCCATCCACACTGAGGGCTTTAGGTCTCCCCAAAACAGGAGCCCTCAGTGCTTCTAAACGGCTCCCTTAAGAAGCTATATAAACACCAGTGTTCAATTCAAGGCCACGGTTCAGCTGGAATGCACCACATCACAACTCCTTGTAGTAAGCACTTTATGCTCCCCCCCCCTCTCTCTCTCCACCACCCTCTCTCTCTCTCTCTCTCTCTCCTTTTTTGTTTCTCTTCCCTCCCTCTCTAACTCTGATACAGCGGGGAACGGAGCGCGTCGTTGCCATGGAGCCGGCCTGTCTGACTCAGAGAACAAGCGTTGAAGCCCCGTCGTCATCCTCCCGGATCTGGTGCGTGATGCGTCCCCTCGGCACGCCGGAGCGCGCGGGCGAAACGCGCCGCTGACCGGTGCCCCGCGCGCGCGCGTTTGCTCTTCCAACGTCCCCGGGATGAGACTTTCCCATCAGTTTTGAGAGGAGCGGGGTGGGGGTGTGGAGGGGTGGGTGGGTGGGGGTGGGTTTGGGGTGGTGTGGTGTGGTGTGGGGGGGGTCCATTGTCGGAGAGGCACGCTGGGAACACCTGGAAATAGATGGAGGCGCTCCCAGACGCCGCGGTCCAACGATTGCTTCACCTTTTCTCGCCGTTCGCGGGGGAGCGCGCTCGTAAGCTCATTTGACCCGGGGGGATGTGAGCAGGCAACCTATCCGGGATTAGAGAGGGGTTTTTTTGGGCGCACGACAATGTCCCGCGGCTCGGTCCCGCACTCCCGGCTGTTGTTCGTTCGGTGCGTCTCGGATAGCCGTTCCGTCTCCGCTCGCCTGTCTCTCCCGGAGCTGCGTCCCTCCCGGAGCGGGTAGGATGACTTCCCGGCGCCGGACAGGAGGCAGCGGCGCTCCTCTGGGGGTCCTGCTCGGCTGCGTGGTGCTCGCCGTGTGCGCAGAAGCTTCCCAAGCCGGTGAGTGAAGGCTCATTAGGGCCAATGACATAATAATACCCACGCACAATGAGCAAACCGGCACCATCCGATCTTTACAGACAAAAACCAAAGTATATGTTTCCCTTATACAGATTCGAATTAGAATAAGAAGAACAGGTTTTGAGTTTTTAGGTTGGCACAGGAAGCATAGAGCAGCATGGTGCACCACAACATGGCTAATCATAAATGTATTAAAGACAGGTCTGAATCCTGAACTGGGTCTGTATAACTTGCTTGAATTGAGGTCACCCTGACTGATTTATTTTTATTTTTTTTAATCTGAATCTGGAATCCACACATAGGAAAACTTGACAAATCCCTTGAGGAGAACCGGCTTCCCTAAAAGGATCCAGCTGCCAAAGTGTGCTGACATTCAGCCTCAAATGATAGGATTCACCTTGCCACCAGGGAACCCGCCAATTTAAGAGGGGAAATACCTAAACTAGGACAGGGAACTCAGCACTGTCATCTCTTACATTTAACTCTTTCAGCAAGTCCATCAGTGATTTTGAAATAGAGTTTGTTGGAGCTTTTAACAGAGGTCAGAGTGCTAATTGGGTCAGAGCGGGCCGATAATTGGACTGTTAGTGGTGCTTAGAATTGCAGCCTTTATCTGTCCTAGATTCTCGCTCTGTACCTCACTGAAATGGCTCTGGGAAATTGGATTTTTTTCTAGGATGAATTACTTCAAGAAATCGTTAATCCCATTACAGGAAAGCCTGAGGTGCATGTTGTCCCTCCTGTCACCCTATTGGTCTGCCTTTCTCCCTGGAAGTTTCTCTGAGAATATTGTTGAAAGCAAGCCGGTCCGGTGACACTCCATTACCGCGTACCTGAACGGGAAGCGGCCATTCATTGATTTAGATCTAAGAGTTCCCCCTCCTGCCTGTGTGAGGACGTCTGGAAAAGGCCGGATTGCAGCACTCTGGGCACCTGTTCCCACGCCGCTTTACGCTCACTAATATGTGCTGAACGGCCTCTCATGAGATGCTAAGTGGTGCTTTTCATCATCAAACGTGCGCGTGAGATCTCCGTGTCCTCGGGGGGGCTCTGCCGCATGGCAAATGGGTGTTGACACACATATTCTTTCATATGCTAATCGCAGATCCCTCTCTATCTCCTCTCTCCTCCCTCCTCCAGGTGCCAGTGTGTGTCGGTCCCCCGGCGCCGGCTCTTGCTCAGACTGCATCCGACGTGGGCCACAATGCGCCTGGTGTTTCAAGGAGGTAGGAATGTGCACAAGGGCGATGAGTAAAAAAAAAAAAAAAGGGGGAAAAAAAGCAAACACTGGGAACGTGGTAGACGTACAGCAGCATTCCTCAGATGACACGCACCAAAGCTCTCGTGGCATCCGCAAATGAGAAGATAATGTGTATGTTGGAGCTTAACGGTCTGCGTTATGATCTGTTATGAGTGTGTCAGCCCGTGTGTGAGTGTCTCCACGCGTGTTTTCCCAGAGGCAGAGCAGCTCCGTCCCTCTGTGTTTGGTCTACACGTTCCCCCTTATCACTGCATCTGTGTTAGTCTGTATCTGTGTGCTGTCATGAAAAGCCCCCCCCCTACACCCCTGGATCTGCATTGACAAACTGAAATGCCCCCTCAATGCTGCACCAGTTACCACACACACACACACACACACAAACACATGTGTGACATCACACTGATCAGAGCAGACTGTGGACCAGTGTGTGTGTGTGACAGATTTCAGGTGCTTTCCCACCCAGTGGGCCCTCCACTTTCCAACGTCACCTCCGGAATCTCCCACACACACAAACTCACACAGTCACGCTCGAGCGAGCAGCGAAAACAAAGCTGCAACAGTTCTCGTGAATATGCATGTCCACGTAAGAGCGCGTTTCCAAAAGGGGCGAAAATCTGTCAGGAAAGTCCCAGGAAAGTCAGTCAGTCTGAAACTCTCTGGTATTTAGAGCTGTTACCGGTCCAGTGATCGCCACTGGGATGACGGAAAACAAACAGAGGTCCGTCTTGCTCTCAGGCCGAGGTCACGGTCAAATATTCGGTTACAATCTCAGGTCGCGTTGCAGACTGTCTGCTGCTTCGCTCTAGTGGTTTCTCTGTCTGAAAACTGACAGAAATCCCTAGAGTTTTATTTTTGGTTGATGTTATTCTACAACCTGTCTGTCAGATTTATTTTTTTTCGTTTGCCAATTGACAAACTCTTTAAACCAGATCTATGAGAAATGAACAATTCAGTGTGAATCTGCACATTTAATAGTCAAATTTTATGCCTCTGGGGCTCCTGTTCTGTATTACTGTTTGGCTTTCTCACAAGCTCCAGTAACAAAGGTCACTAATCCACTCCTAAGCCACAGGGCATGATGCTGTTGCTCTGTTTGAGTCACAGAGAGTTAGCTACAACCTCCAAATAATGTAATCCTATATTCAATTGTCATCCAGAAATATTATTTGCCTCCTCTCAGAGTTTTTGAAAATGAATATGGATGAAGAAACCCGATCCGATGCTTTCAGTACTTCCATGAAAAATCAGTTAAGCATCATGAAAGGACATTAAACAGAAACGGAAAGTGGAGTGAGTAATCTCGAAAGTGGGTTTTCTTTTGTTTGATTAATCCAAAGGCTTTCTAAGGGAGAGCTTTGTCCTTGTATTTTTCACATGCCAAAGGTCCTAAAATGATTACAGCGAGTTGATCGTTAACCTGCCCCTGCCTAACTTTGAACATGTGTAGAGGGAAATAAAATGTCATATTCCAGACAAACTGTGTTCAGTGAACGTTCCACTTAAGGAATAAACTGAGCCTTTTAAACGTAATATCCAGGATTTCCTGCACGGGGCTGAGCCGAGCCATCGCTGTGACCTGGCCGAGAATCTGCTCAGGAGAGGCTGCGAGCGGGAGTTCATGGAGCAGTCGGAGGTCAAGGTGGAGGTGGACGCCACCCTAAGCAGCACACAAGTGTCCCCAAAGGAAATAAGCATCACCCTCAGACCAGGTAGACGACCCGGTCGGCTTTCTCATCGGGAAAAAAAAAAAGAGATTAAGTTCACCATTAATGTCTCTTTGTGGATTATTTTCTTTGTAGGTTCAGAGGCCAGTTTCATCGTGGCTGTGAAGCAGTTAGAGCGTTATCCTGTGGATCTGTACTACCTGGTGGACGTGTCGGCTTCTATGCAGGACAACCTCGATCACGTAAGTGTTGAGACACTCAGCTATCAGTCAGATGTATTTAGCAGCTTTTTCTTCAGGGGAGACATGAGTAATAGCCAAGATGTTTCACTCTGAATCATCACATCACCTTTTTTGAAAGACAAATCTCACCCAAAAGTAAGTTTGAGAGGTGTATGACAACAAATATTTGTATTTGATAAAGGTTCAGTCGTTAGTCTGATTTCTTAAGAGATGAAGAACAACAACATATGGATGATTTTCCATTTTCCCCCATTCATCGTCTCTTTATTTATTTGATTTGAGTATGGTTATTTCTCTTTTGGAATTGTAAACGCGGTGCCTGTTTGTGGTGCAGCTGAAGACGGTGGGGGTGGCCCTGTCCCTCCGCATGACGGAGCACACCCCGGACCTCTGGGTGGGTTTCGGCTCGTTTGTGGACAAGCCCGTTTCCCCCTACATCAATGTCCATCCCACTAAGATAAACAATCCCTGCAGGTAAGTCACCAAGTTTAGTGACCGTACTTCTTATTCTAAAAAAAAGCATAATTAATCTTGATCACATTAATAGCATAAATCCCTCATGTCATCATTTTCTTGGCATGAATTAAAGCAAACCCGGAGGATATCCTGTTCCAGCCCCTGTTCTGTGATTAATATAGATGCTCATCAGTTGATGAGTTCGACATCCCTGAATGTTTGAATTTTCTCTATTTTGTCTTCATCGCCAGCGATTACGGGATCAGCTGTCTTCCGGCCCACGGTTTCCACCACGTCCTCAGCATGACGGGCAACATGAGCGAGTTCACGCGCGTGATCAAGCGGCAGGGCATCTCCGGGAACATGGACACGCCGGAAGGGGGACTGGACGCCATGCTGCAGGCGGCCGTCTGCCAGGTGAATGGGTCACTCCGTCCTGCATCTGCAGTTCGGGGGATAATGGAAGCCCTCTGAATCAGCTATGCTTGTTTCCATCGGAATGCCATTAAGTAGTGACACCACGGCTGGACTATGGCTCACACACACATGGACCGCGTAACGGCTGCTTACACTGTAGCTGCAGGAGGTATGTGAATCACTCCATGCAAGGGGTCCAAGAGTAGCCAGTTCTCAGGGAATCACCACACTGGTGATAAAGTCCAGAAATAGACTCTCCATTATGTCACATTTTGTTTTAAGCTCATGAAGTTTCCTTAAATACGCACGCATACACATGCTCCCGTTTTCTCACACTAGATGATGACTCACAGGCATGAAGGAGACAGTCTGGCTGATAGAGTCACTTCTGCTGCTTTTGCCTTTAATTTGGCATTGCAGCAAAACCTGATCATCGTGGAAACTAATATAGTTCAGCTGAGTCAGATGTTCGAGTGCGCATTTTTCTTTCACCGCACTTTTCACCGCACTAAATCTTTAAGATGTGAAGCACGCACGCTTTTCCACATCAGTTGCTTCGCATGTTAATAAGTAGTGATTTAAGAGAGAGGGACAAGTGGGGATTTTAGAAACTGCTCCCCAAAATCAGAGTCAAGAAGCAGATCTGTGGTTGCTTTTGGTTCCAAAACAAACCAGCATCCAAGAAGTTTGGGATGCTGAGTGAAACGTAAATAAAAACAGAATGTCAATTGGAAATCTGTAAAAAAAAACTAAAAAAGAAAAATGGAGTTGAAGACAACATGTCAATAGTTTTTTTTTTTTTTTTTTTTAAATTGGTGACCATTTATATTAGAAAACACTCCCCAGCACCTATTGGTATCAGTCTCCATCAGTGGTACAAGGGATCCATGTGGTGTGGGCTCATGCCAGCCCGTCCCATCAAGGAGCCTGACTTATGAACTATGAGCCATAAACAAGCTGGATGTGATTTCTCTTCTTTGACATGTATGCTGTATGTTTTCGAGCTAACAGGACAGCTTTAAACTGCCCTGCAGTGTATCAGAAATTGGCTCTGGCCCATAAAAGCTGGCATTGAATCAGAAAAAAGACATAATTGTATGAGATTGAGACGATTTTTTACATATATATACTGTATATATGTAAAAATCGTCTCATATATATATATAGAGAGAGAGAGAGATAGATATAGATATATATGTAGATATACATATATATAAAATAAAAATAATCAGTATTCCAAAACATACCTTTTTCGGAACATTTATTCTAAAAATTTTTGTTGTTCAATTTCATTGAAAATATCTGTCTGAACACACCGTAACATCCCAGCTTATTGTTATCATTCTTCTTTTAGGATGAGGTTGGGTGGCGGGCAGACGCAAAGCGCCTCCTGCTGCTGATGACCGACCAGCCGTCCCACCTCGCCCTGGACAGCCGGCTGGCGGGGATCGTGGTGCCGCACGACGGCTTGTGTCACCTGGACAAAAACGTCTATGCTGGAAGTACCAAGATGGTGAGAGAGTTTGCCGGTTCTGAATTCACCCACGCTGTCCTTCAGTTTTAGATGGAAACTTAAAGAAATGCAAAATTTCTATCTCTCCCTGCTTCTTTTTCAGGACCACCCCACTCTGGGTCAGTTGTCCGACAAGCTGCTTGAAAACTATATCTACTCCATCTTTGCTGTTGAGAAGCAGCAATACCAGTGGTACGAGGTAATTTGTGAGATGTGTGCCCTTGCGGCAGTTTGACAGAGAGAGGACGTCAGTAAGCACTTAGCACTATTTGTGTTTGCAGTTTAAAAAACCACCTTTCATCCCTCTTTTTCCCCGCTAGGAGTTGGCTCACCTTCTACCTGGTTCCTACTTGGGAAAGTTGGGCCTCTTCCAGGCTCAAAGCCTCATAGAGCTGGTGGTTGATGCATACAAGGTACTAACTCATCCTTTCTCTTTGGGGCTTCTCAGTCCTCCCTCTGTGCCTTGCTATTTTTTTCTTGAGTGAGACAGGGACAAAGGAAGCCCACGCATTCCTTCCTCTGAAGGTGATGAAGCATTAGTCCGGGGTTTTTGATCTGTTTAATCATGTCGGATGACTAGCGAATTCCTGTTTGCAGAGAGGGCTTTACTATCTGTGCTGTCATATTTCTGACTACAGAAACTCCAAATCCAATCGGCATTTTCCTCAACGATAGGTTTTAAAGTTGTGTTGTTGTTGTTGCTGTGATGAAACAGAATAGCACGGACGAGAGCAGGGGGTTAAGGAGGTGTCGGACTTGTGTGTGCCGGCCGGTGTTTGTGTGAGACCGGGGGTTAGCTCAGTTGGCAGAACTCGGGGCTATAATCTTGCCTCCGGCACAGTGCTCCATTGTTTGCCTCGAGAATCTGCCGAATCCACAGATCTGGGTGCGCAGCTACGCGTACGAGCACGACACACACTCACACATAAGCAGCGGAGCCCGAAACAGAAGCCGCCATTATAATAGGCATCGGATCCCCGCGGAAACCATGTGTCCTAATCAGGGACGAAGACAAAGATGCTATTTTTGGGTCCACCTCCTTGTCCCTATGAATCCCCTGTGTTTAAGAATGAAAGTAAAAGAAAAAGAAAGGACAACAACAACTGCTTTATGGTCACATGTAGTAGCTTTAATTACTGGACTCTTTATCCCCACAGTTTTATTTTCTGGTATGAGTCAGCACACTATGTTGGGGAACTCTCCCAGGCACCAAAAGTAATACTTTTTCATTCCTGTTTGCTGTCTCTGCTCAGAAGTTGCTGTCGGAGGTGGTGGTCTCAGTTTCGGTGGAGGACAAGGCGGTCAGCAGGTACTGGGTGTCCGTGTCCCCCGGCTGTCCCGATGGAGCCACCGCCAAAGGCCAGGGTTGCTCGGGGGTGCGGCCAAATCAGACGGTAAACGCAAAAAACGGCGGGCGTGAATAATATTGTACAAGAATCGTCTAAGCAGAAAGAGTCCAGAGTTTTCACAGAAGAGCTATTATTATTAGAAGTACTCTGACATGACAAACACACCTTACACAAACTGATCGCAGAGAGCTTTACGTGACAGAGAAGATTTGGCAAATAATCCAAAGTGAGCGGATTATAGCCTGTATTTAACGGGCAAACATTTTCATGTGATCTAAATTTGTTACCTTCCCTTCTCTAACCCCCTTGATGCAAACAAAGGGGACATTTATATTTAGAAATAGGCCATTGGATGTTCCTTGCTTTGACGCCTGTTCCGTTATCCAACAGAAGTAAAACCTTACATTATATGGAAAGTTATCTTTACAATCTGCGTATTTTTTCTCATTTGTGTTTTTAACAATGTCAGTGGGACAACCACTGGAGGGGAAAAAAGGCACAAAACATTCTTTATTCATTTGGAAATACTGCTATTTTATTCAACCCCTTTCTCTTTAAGGGATTTCTCTCCACTGTAACCTTTTGGTGCTCTTTGCTGAACACCAAGATCCTAAATCACTGCTCTATAGTTCCTCTATTGTGAAAACAGACTAAATCTCAGCCCTTTAATCCATGGGCGGATTAGAATGAATTATGGAAAGTCCTGAAATTTACCAGAATAGTGATAAAAATCAACGGAAAGGCTTGTCTGTGGTATGCGCTGTTTTCCACATCAACAGGATAATTATTCAAATTCAGTCTTTAGAATCTGACTCTTTACCCAACTCTGCAGGACGTCATAATTACGCAACGAGAGATTACTTAGATTGTATAATTCCTTTAGGCTTTACATGTAGATGTTCATGTACAGGAATTATTTCTGTACATTCTGTGAATATGTAAAAGCCCTTGGTACTAAACAGAAGGCAGCAGGCTGACAGCCACAACGCAGCATTGTTAGATGATAGATGGATGGATGGATTTGTATTCATTAATCATAATTAATGAATCATAATCAATCAGAATTCTTCACAAAACATAAAGTAACACAGAGGCTGAGATGTATTATGGGAAATTCAAAATTAGTACTTCTTCAAGAACTAAGCTAAAACAGGATGGACTGACCACACCGTTTATGTTATTTTTCCATTTAGGTGTACTTCAACATCACGGTTGGCCAGCACTCCTGTGCTGAAGATGGTAAAGATGAAGATGTTTTGGTCACGGTCCGCCCCGTGGGTTACAACGAGTCCATCGTCATCAGGATTCGCTCCAAATGTAGCTGCCGTTGTGGAGCGCTGGGACGGTGCTCCGAGCAGGTCCAGCCGCCCTGCAGAGACCCCCAGCCCGGGGCTGGTCAGCAGCACAGACCCTTTCCAGCCAAGGACTCCAAAAGTGACCCGAACAAGAGCTGCAGGCCCAACGGGTCAGACGTGGACTGCAGCGGTCAGGGAGTTTGTGAATGCGGGAGGTGTGCGTGTGAGACCAGCAAACTTGGGATAATATACGGAAAATACTGTGAAAAAGATGACTTCTCTTGCCCATATGAGGGGGACTTACTATGTGGAGGTAAGACAAAGTTTCTGACCTTTTTGGTTACAAATATCTCAACAAATTGTGGCTTTTTAATACGTTTTTCCTTCATTCTTTTCAGGCCAAGGTGACTGTGTGTTAGGAGAGTGTGTGTGCAAGAACGGATGGACGGGGCACAGCTGTGGCTGTCCCACGTCCACAGCAACCTGTCGGTCACCGGGCGGCTTGCTTTGCAGCGGCCAGGGCAGGTGTCTGTGCGGCAAGTGTGTGTGTGACGACCCTAAACTGTCCGGAAACTTCTGCGAGAAGTGTCCAACTTGCCAAAGCCTCCACCATCCCCTCTGGTGCATATTTCCTATTTCCTACTGGGACTGATAATGGAAGATCAAACAACTCTTTACCTGCGTGTGGATCTGATGCTGTTGTAACTTGTTGTTTCTGTGTGTCTCTTCTCTCTTCTTCAGTAAGAGTGTGGCCTGCCATCACTCCCATGGTCTCTCTCAAAAAGAAAAAGAGTACTGTAACAACACCTGTGCACCACTGATCGGCAACGTGGATATTGTGACAGGTACATTTAGCAGAAGTGTGCTATTAAATACTGTGGGGATTCATTTTGAAGATTGACTAATTCTTGAGTTGTCAGAAAATCTTCAGTGTAAGATCGAGAACAACATTGAAAGACCATACATCCACCCAATGGCAGGTTATACCTAGGACAAGTCCCCAGTCCATCGCAGACTGAAAGACCACCTACTGATAACAACCAGTATGACAAACAAAATAATAAGCGCATGAGACGGATCTAGTCTGTCATTAGCTAATGTGTATGTGTCTCATCTGGATTTAACTTGAAGATAATTATGGGAAATGGGCTGATTCCAGGATTGAGATATGCGGGTGGAGGCAGATGTCGATCTGGGAAATTGGAACCATGCGAGATTCTGGCATTTGGTCTTTACAAACGTCTACTTTTTTTTTCTGACTGAGATCCATTGAGAACTGTGTCACAAAGCTGTATTTTTTGACAATCTTTTGCAAACTTGACCACCGTTAAACACAACACTAACCTTTAATATTATTAGGATAAACATGGCTGCATACAGTTGTCTCTCTTTTACATTCCTTGCTGTTTCAGAGAACGTTTTTCAGCCAAATAATAAATACAAACTTAACATTCAGTCTCAGTTCAGCTCCCTGGTCCAAAAAATGTCACATTTTCCATCTTTAGCTTTAATTAGAGTACACTTTTGTCACTGCAGAGTCTGGGTAACCTTGTGCAATGTTCTCTCCATTCAGGGAAGTATTATTATATTATTATATTGCAAAGACCTTGAATTGATGACGATGGAAGGGTGGAATTACTGGATTAGGGTTGCAGCTCTGAATTTTGTGGATGAAGAGGTTTCAATCTGAGTGTGAAATGGACCACATGAAAGTCAACCTCTCAAAATCCTCAGGTCACGGCTCTGAACTTTTCGTACGATTTGCTGTAACTCAGGATGTGGCTGAAAAGCATTTAAGGTTTGAGTGGGTGATAGTCTAACAGAGTGGCTTTCGTCACCTGTAAAGACGTTTGCATACCGTTGTAGACAGGAACCTCGGCTGAAAGGGTTAAGGTTTTAATTTACAACATTCGTTTCAGTTCTCACCTACGGTCACAGGCTTTGGGAAATAATGAGTTTGTAGTTCCAAGTGGCTAAACCAGACTTCCAATGGTGTACCGCGAGGTTGGGCGATTTAAATTGATTTTAGTATTTGGTTAGGATGCCTCCTAGTCATATCTCTTGGAGGTTTTTGAGTCATGTCCATAAGTCACTGGAGAGATTATGTCATCCTTCTGGCCATGGATTGTCTCCATAAGTCTGTAGAAGGATGCTATTAAATATTAATGGGAAGAGGGTATTAAACCCGGATGGATGGATGGATGTTTCTCCAGCCTCATCGTGGTGTTGGGGGGTCTTTAACATGCAGATTCAGACATTAGTGACAGCTGTCACTTTTGGGTTTGGTCAGATCCAGCCTCACATGTGCACAGGACCGGGCCTGACGTAGACGAGCACACACACGCACACACACACACACACACACACGTGTCCAGTGGGGTCACATCCGTTGACCCCGATGTGCGTTGTCAGTGTCACAGCTGGATTTTACATCCTCCTGATCACTCGCAGTTCCCAGCTCCCTTTTTTCTCGGTTTCACTCAAACACCAGCGTGCACGCGCTCGCCCCTGGTGACACACGCGCGCGCGCACAAAGTGTTGCACGTCCAAGTGTTACAGTCCGTCCCCGCCCTCTGAATGTTTTGGAACAGCGCTGTTCATTGTGCGTCTAACCCCCCCCCCACACCTCAACCCCAGCATCCCTCCAAGGCTCCCCTCGTGCCCCCCTCCGCCCGGCGGGACACTCTCTTCCCGCTCACGCCCACTCCTCCCCGGGTTCAGCAGAAGCCCGGTCTCCGTGGTAACGCCGTTACAAAATGTCAGAGGGCTCTTTGGGCTCTTTGTGTCGAGCCATCAGCGCGTCATCCACACATGCTCCCCAGCAGATAAATAGCCAGTTGAGGCTTCAGCACCCCCCCCCCTTGACACAATTGTGTGTGCACAGACAGAGGTACGATACTCACTGTCAATCTGTCTAAATGATTCAGAAAATGCCTCTAAGTGTCATAAGCTCTGGCTTGTACTGCTACTGAGATGTCCAATATGTACATGGCACTTGTGGTTTAGGGTTTGGCACAATGAAAATATGGGATTGACACAGATACTTTATTGGAAAATTATGACGATCGGTATCAGGGACTAAAACCCCTAAACGGAACACGCCCACATACGACAGCTATCATGACTTTCCAAATTTATTGGGGAGGCTCTCTCCGCGAGGTTTTTTCTTGTTTTCTTGTTTTAAGGTTTGGTTTCTGTGACTTTTTAGGTTCTCGTTGCTCTGTTTAGAGCAGTTGCTCACTCTCAGGATTTACGGAACTGACCTTTAGTGGTATGCAAATGTGTTTCATGCTGACATATTTTAAAAAAAGGAAGAAAGGCCTGGACTTCAAACGAGGCATTTAAGGCAGCGCATGACCAAAGCTCTGTGTGGGAGTCAATGTGTTCCATTTATGTGAACTTTGGACTTCTTTTGAAAACCTTTTGCCGAATGACAGCTACAACAAAACTAAAAAAAAACATTTTGAAGTCACCAATCTGACTATTAAGCCATATTTCTCAGTTTCTACACCTTTAGGTAACTACATGTGTTTTACACCGTAACTGTAATGGATGTGTACAATTTGAATTTGGTCAAAAGTGTGTTGAGAATTCTGTGTTATTTACTCTTCTGATCTTTTTGGCCATTCAACATAGAAGTGATCACAGCTCCATATAGTGAAACCATTTGTGTGTGTGTGTGTTCACAGGGCGTGTGAGCAGCGGCCGGCTGGCGGGCACGTTCCTGAGTGTGTGTGCCCTGACGGTGCTGTGCGGGCTGGTGGTGGTGGCTGTGTCTCGGCTGGTGCTGCAGAAGAGGAGCGGGTCACCAGGGGGTGCCGCTGAGGAGGGAGTCTACCATTGCACTGGAAAGGTTAGCTTTTCTCATCAACACAGCACAACTTTAATTAAGGGGAGGTTTGCTGTCCCTGGAGCTCTCAGGCACTTTAGGGAGGCCGCCTTTCTTAAGAGTGAGCGGCTAAGAATAATATCCACTGAAACCAGGAGTGAGAAATGCGATTCCGTTTCCTAGAAGTACAGCTGTGTTTTACATTTCCTCTCAACTCCCAGGTCACTATCTAAAGTTTCCAGATTTTTGACCTCACTGTGACATACAGCACCTTTGAGGAGAATAAGTGGGTGGGAATTTGTGGATGCATGAGTGGACGGGGGTGTTACTGGGATGTGGACGCTAAGAATGCTCCACACTGCATCTCATTTATAGTTTAGGACATAACTACTGATCCCCTGTGTGAAATTTCATACCACAGACTTTTCAAAATTGATGCATCCGTTATGATAACATTTGAAATAGTATATCGGTTACAAATCCCTTCTGATATTTAATTTGTAACGTTATACACTCTGGGGAGATTTAACACACACTACTGGCCGTGTGTTGGTGATGTGCTCCCACCTCTTTGTTATATAACATCACAAATGGAAACTGAAAACGTGTTATGTCGATCTAAAAAGGCTGCTGCTTTCAAAGGAATATTCCCACTTATTTTAAATGTTACAGTCTATAAAAATGTCTTTTGAGACTTTGAAGTCGGGACGCTGGCTGACATTCCCTTTGTTTGATTAGATAATATTTTCTCACACATTCCTGTCATACATGTCCGGTTGGTGGCAATATCAATAATAGCAGCAGTAGTCAGGCCCAACATTCCTTCACATTTTCTCATTCAAGGTTTTTAGGCTAATTCTGTACGTGATGTCGTGTTGATAATCGGAGTTAGAAAAGCTATGATCAAAACTGTCTGAAGCACCTACAGGGAGGTTTCATAGCTGCATTTTTCTTTTATTATGGACTCAGAAGTCAGTTGAGTCAAACACCAAATACTCAGGTTTGAGGTTTCATTGTGTTTGTGGATATCAGTGGACTCACAAACTTCTCCCTGTGTGACCACAACTGACCCAACGTTTGTTACTCTCCAGGATTTGTCATACATACCAACAACCAATGAGAAAACGGTTACCTACAGGAGGGACCGTCCACCTGACCGCTCTGTGGAGATGCACATCCAGGTCCCCAAGATGCCCCTTGATGACCCTTGGCGATTCTAAACAATGGCGAGGGCCAACGTCTGAAGGAAGGTGGCAGATACACACAGAAAGAGAGCTGGACTGAAAACTTCTTTTCTGCTTGTCAGCCATAAGAAATCAGCAAACTGCATGTGGAGACTCTAATGATGGTAAACCTGGAAACCTCCATGGAATCATAATGGCGAAACGAACAGACCAAATGATTAACTGTTTAACTAACACGGCCAGTATCCTGGAAACGGAGTTGAAACAAAGAGCACAAGTCCCCCCCCGCCCCACACACACCTCTTCTTCCTCTGTAGCAGCAGGGAGGCTACTTCTTCTACAGGGTAAAGGCTGATCATTCTTTGCTTTTTTTTAGCCATGCAGCGAGTCCTGCTCTAACTTATGTACGTGTGCGGATGCGTGTGAATGTGTGTTTGGTGATTGTATGCTTTCTATTTATGATTTTACAGTGAAAACACTACATTTTGTTCATGCCTCATGGAGTTTGTTCAACCCACTCATTGTCTCCCTGTCTTAGACTGCCCCCATGTGGTCAACATACTGTACAACATTTTCTCTCATACAGTATACATATACACAGATATGATATAAAATTAGCCCTGCATGGTGGTGTGGGGGTTAGCACTGGCACCTCGCAGCCCGAGGGTTCCGGGTTTGAGACTGGGACCCTTCTGTGTGGAGTTTGCATGTTCTCCCCGTGTCTGTGTGGTTTTCTCTCCAGGTACTCCGGCTTCCTCCCACTGTCCAAAAACATGCATGTCAGATTAATTGGACAGTAACTGCTCGCTCCAAATTGCCCCCAGGAGTGAACGTGAACGTGTGCGTGGGGTTGTTTGTATCTATCTGGCCCTGTGATGGACTGGTGTACCCCACCCCTCACCCATTGCCAGCTGGGATAGGCCGCGTTGGGAGGATGGATTGGATTGATAATACACATTAGTGACCTCAGATAAAATGCCTTGTGTACCAATGACTCCATATGCCTGTATTTTATTACTTTTTTAGGTAAGATGTTGCTTAAGGCTCTTTTCAGTGTTTTATTTTATTCCTTTTTATGTTATACAATCAGCTGCATTTTAAATTAAGTGGCATAAATGAGTCTGTTTTTTCATGTGACTGCCTGTTTAACTTGTTTTAGACTTGCACTAGAAATGTTGCATTATACTACTGAAATCTTTGGAGTCTCTGGGACAGGAGAGCACTGTAAGCAATCTGAAATGTTACAGTTGGGCATTAAAAGATACAAGTGTACGTTTGACGCTAATGTAAGAAATCTACCGGAACACTGGAAAGGCTGAGATTTGTGTTTAGAATATGAACCTACAAACAATGAATCATCTGTTTTATGAACTATCCACACAACTTGATGCTTTAAGGTACGAATCAGCTCGGAGGGATGTGAGATCAGAGGTTTAATTTCCCTCTGCACCATCTTTGTGAACTTGAATCCAGTTCCAAAGGCATGGCAGGTCGTGAGACTTTGACCCACCCACTCCTGCTCCTGTTTTGGATTTTTATTCACAGTGTTAACGGCACTAGCTGCTCCCTTTGCTTTACTTTTACTGTAAATCGGGAACACTAATGATAATTTATTTTGATTACATTTTAGACTGTTTTCATTCAGTGATCTGCTTTTTTTTTTTAATGGTCAGCCATTGGGATTAGTGGTCTTAGGTCTTAGACCATGGGAGTTAATCAGCAATAAGGTAGCTTATTAATCATCTCATCTAACCAGGTACTGAAGTTGGGGGCAAGAACTGCACTTTTTCTTGGATAGTTTTGCGGTAACTAAATGTGACTATTGTATTCTAATAAAAAGGATTTTTCAATAACTGCTCAGGTCATTTTGTGGTGTGATATTAAAAAAAAACCAAAGGGCCTCTGTGACAGAACAAAATGTCATTACCAAACAATACTCCATTAAGTTTATACTAAGTTTTTACCTCTTGTTGATGCTTTCTGTACTTCGTCTGGTCAAAATCTGTGGAAGGACAGTTTTTGAACACTAGGTGGAGATGTTAGCTGAGAGTAGAACCACAGATCAGACCAGCTTCTCTGCTGGGATTTGAACATAGAATCAAACTTTTGGTAAATGAGCCTGACAAATTGGTTTGAAATTCAAACTTTTTTTCAAGGAATAATTAAGTATTCTCAGAAGTAATGTTCTGAATTCAGCTGCAGGCGAATGCTGCAACGGGTGTGAAACAGCAGCACGCGTCAGTTCTTAAGGCCCCGACAGTCTAATGCTTTCTTCAGTATTTTTTTTCAGAATTAGAACACTCAGTTATAATCAGTCCACAGAAAAGGCAAACCATTTCATGAGCAAAAACACCACTTAAACTTTTAAAAAGAACAAAGAGTTTAAAAGTATTAAGGGAACAGTAACAGAACATTTGAAAAAGGAAAAATCATCTTGTTTTATTGACACCAGGTACATTCAGGACTAGAGGCTACGGGCATATATTATGAGCTTAGAGTCTTTCAAATGAACCATTTAAAGGAAACACTAGTGTAACCTTACATATAAAACAGCAATGAAACGATGTCAAGAACATTTTAAAGAATAGAGACATAACTCTTACAATAAATTAAAACGGTCTTCACAGAATAAAAGAACCTCTCAAGCAAAAAAGAAAAAAAGAAAAAAAAACTGAGAACATCAAATGAGGTAAGAAGAACAGTACAGACTACGTAAATGGAGTGAACCATAAAGTGCCATTTAATTTATTTCAGTATGGAAGAAAACGATGTAAAGAAAAAAAAAAGAAATATAGGAAATGATAATCAGTATATTTATCAAAAAAGTACGAGTCAGTGTGAATAAATGCCCTTGGCTCGTGTGTTGCTTTGCTCACTCGGTCCTCTGCTCCTGGGCGTTCGTGGAGCCATCACGCACGCGCACTCCGGGCGACAGTCTCGGGCTGCCACCGGCGCCGGTCTCCGTGTCGCTGCCCCCTCTGCCCGGGCCCGGCTCCCCGCCGTCCTCGGCGCCCTCCGGGCTGTGCGTCCGGACGTGCTTGCTGAGGTGGTCGGAGCGCATGAACCGCTTCCGGCACACGGAGCACTCGAACCGCTTCTCCCCCGTGTGCGTGCGCGCGTGCCGCTGGAGCTCGTCGGAGCGCGTGAAGCGTTTCCCGCAGAAGAGCCAGCTGCAGACGAACGGCCGCTCCCCGGTGTGCCACCGCAGGTGGGCCTTGAGGTGGGACGTCTTGCCGTAAACTTTGCCGCAGCCCGGGATGTGGCAGCTGTGGAGCCCCGCCTTCCGCCGGGGGCCGGGGCCCTCCTGGCCCGGGCCGTCCGCCTCCTGGCAGTTCGGGCAGTCGCACGTGGCCCTGCCGGAGTACCGTCTGGACGAGGGGCGCGAGGACGCGGGAAGAGAAACGGCCGGGCTTCCCGCCAGAGCCGGAGGCGGCGTGGCCGCAGACTCAGCGTACGGGGCGGGGACGGGTGGCCTGAAACCGTCGAACAGGTGCTGCGTGGGGGGGAGCAGGTGCTGGGATGCGCCGCCGCTGAACGCGGGGCTGTATTCGCTGCCGTAGCCGCCCGGAGGGGGCGCCAACCCGGCTGGGCTCTGCGAGTCCGCCCAACCGGTGCCCATGTCCCACCAAGCCGGGGGCCCGTTACCCACTTCGCCCACGGGCTTGAACCACGAATCGTAGGGGTGCATCCTCTGATATATGCCCGCTATGCTCTCCACGGAGGAGGGCAGCGTGCTCAGAAACACCGGCCGCTGGGCGTGCGCGGGGTCGGGCGCGCTGCCGTCCGGTGACGGCACGACGGTCTGGTACATGGAAAAGTCATTCCCCAGAGAGGAGCCGGCGGCGGAGGGGAAAGAGGCCGAAGCCTCCGTCAGCGGGGCCCCGTTGGCCCTGTGGGCTCCAGAGGAAACTCCGAAGGAAGCGAGGCAGGCGTTCAGGCCACCGTTCCCCTGAGCGGCCCTCTTCCACGGGTAGAATCCCTTCAGAAATCCCGGGGCTCCGTCGGACAGGGCGGGGGAGCAGGAGGAGGTGTGCTCGCCGATTCTGTTGCAGGTGGCGGCCAGCATGGCCAGCGGGGTGCTGCCGAACCGTGGTTCCTCCTGTGGGGAGCAAGGACAGGAGCACGTTACGGCGTTATGTAGACACCATCCACCCACTCCGGTGCTTCAAACCACCAGTTTTCATTCCCTGACACAACTGTCCCTGAATAAGCCTAAATTGTATTTTTAAAAGGCACAGTAAAACCAGCTGGTATTCTCCTCTTTCTACTTCAACTTGTGAGACAACCTGAGAAAAAGAAACAGACTTTTTAAAACAAACTGCTCCAGAGTTAACATGGATGAACATTTCCCTGCTAGCGAAGGCAGACCAACTAAAAGCAGGCTACAGGTGAACGTTTCATCTTACTCAGGTGGAGTAAGACTCCTGTGTTTTTTTTTTCAATAAACGAACTAGCAGACATATATAAAGCGAAAACATACCCCGAGCAGCGCAGCCATGGACTGAGCAGGTCTCCAGACGGTGAGCAGGTCTCCGGACGGTGAGCGGAGCTGGAAGATATCGGTCTGGGTTTCGTCTCACACTCCTTTACAAGTTGTAGCTGCCTGTCGGCTTTGAAGTGCCGCTGAGAGTCCGCCGACCAATCAGAGACCAGAACCCACCGTCTCCCGAAACATCTGCGGCTCGGGATCCTCGTAAATCTCACACGTCAAATCTCGCGAGCGAGTGTAGCTTCAAAGTAGCAACAAGTATGCTCATAATTTGAAGTTTGAAAAGAGTCACTGGTGTTAGCGTCTTACGGCGATGCTTTGAAAATTGGCCCCCAAAAAAAGCATCACTTCACTTCTCAATAGCAACATTTCCAGTTTTTCCCATCATTTAAAATAGGTTGTGACAGCTCAGACAGTGCAGGACACCATCATGAGCCAAGCAAAGTGGGCAGCTTCCACCAGAAAAAATAAAGGAAACAAAAAAGCCAAACCAAACAGGATTAGTTTTTTTTTTAAAGAGAGTATCACACATATAGTTCATTAGTTTTACTGATGCTTTAAGGTCACATGGAGGGAAGTTGATGAATGGGATGCTGTCCCTGTGCTGCCCATGGGGCGTTTCCAGTCTGCCCTGGGGGTGGGAAGGGAGGGCAATAACACTGCCTACACAATTTGGTCTCTTTTAACACAAAACAAAGGTCTTTTAAATAATCGCTGAAAAAAACTTGTTTGTTCACAAAGTCTAAATCAGACATTGAGTGTGTTAGTGTGAAGAATTAGCCTTTATCAGTTGTATGTGAAAAGATAAGTAAGTAGATAATCCTCCCATTTAATCAGGCATGGTTAACCAGTATGATTACCCACACACCTCAGAGAAACCTAGAATGATCTCCCACCTCTAAATATATGAGCGAAAAGCCTGAATGTTGAATTTCAAATTTAATAAAACAGGCAGCTTTTAATCTGTTTCCTCATTCGATTGGTATTAATGGCTTCTCTGCCCTCAGTTCATCCCCGTTGTTCTATGATCAGGACCAGTGAAGTCAGCTGGACACACGTATCATGAATAAGTTGATCAAATCTCCATTCTCACATACCATTTATATAATGTGATTGATAGTGCACATGATTATTTTTGGTGATGCTATGCACAGAGTAACAGCTTACTCCATCAAAGAGCCTAATTGAATATAAGACTCCAATTCAAAAAAGTTACAATGCTGCATAGATGTGAATAAAAACAGATGCAGTCATTTGCTAAAAACATTTGACACATCATAAAATGCAAAACATGGCAAAGACACGGCGGAGCTCTGGAAATTTAGAATCTGATAAGAATTTGGCAGTAGAGAACAATTGTCCATGGTCCAACACCTGTTTCCCACTGTTCCTAGACATTTGTGGACTGTTCAAAGGAGAGGGGATGTTCTCCAGATAATAGCATGGTCCTGCCTGAAATGTCTTGAAATGTCTCCAAATTCAGTATGAGCTACTTTTTTTCTGAAACTAAAAGCTTTCTCACATTCACACTTTAGGGTTTATTCGTTCATTATATATTGGATAATAAGATTTGAAAATCATTGTATCATATTTTCATGTATAACTCAGTGTCCCAACTTCTTGAGATTTAATGTTTCAAAGAAACTCTGTAAAAAAACAAACAGAATTGATAGATCTCAGATTTAGATTCCTAGATAATGCAATGAACCAGATATTTTTCTGGAAGTTTTCTGTATGATCTTGTTGGAGTGCTGAAATGATTAGATTTTAGAGTCCCCCTCTTTATCTGGATATCATTAATCTCCAGCACAGCACCAAATAGTGAACTCTCCATTGCAGGTCGGAGCTGTAAACTTAAGAGTAGAGATTTAGACAGTGCTTTACCAAGTTAGTTTAGCAAAGTCATTATTTCAGGAGACACATTAATGCACACCTCTGTGAACTGGAAAAAAAACAAGAGACTGTCACGCTGGCGTCTGCTTGACCCCACAGCCTGAGGCATGGCCGTGTGCACAGGTGGAGTTTACAGTAGGACATCCTCCTTTAACTTGATCACCGTCCTCACAAACCACCCAAACAGCTGTCCCCCTCTTTAAGAAGCATTCTTTTCCCACACTGAAAAGTGTGTGTACTTGTGTATGTGTGTGTGTGCTTTAAAGGACCCAAGTGAAACCCTGTCTAAGCCTCAACCTGTTCCTTTGGCGATGATAATGACCACATTATCACGCGCCATCGGACCTCAACAAAAAAAGATTGTCGTGTGCTTTCCAATCACTTTGAGGGCATTGAGACAGAAAGAGCGGAGAGAAAGGAGTGAAATAAAGTCCTGGCACTTCTCAGGGGAGAGGGGTGGGTGAAATATTTTATTTCCCTGTGCTGCCAACCCCCTCGCCCTCCCCCTGGGGTGCTCTGGCAGCCATCTTGATCAGCTGTCCCGCTGAGACAATTAGCTGGAGAGTCAAGAGAGTCAAAAGAAAAGCCGCTAAACGTATCGCAAATGTATTCACTGTGAGCAGGGGGGGTGAGTTTGTGAACGGTAAACGGCAGGAAGGTTTCACGCCGTGCGCCATGCTCCCGTAGAGGTGCGACAGCTATATACGTGGGGCTTCCTGGTGTGGAAGCTGCTCCTTCTTTTTTTTATGCGATTAGTCTTTTCATGCCCCTTCAGATTTGACCGTGAAAGCGAGCCGAACTTGTTTTACAGTTGAGGGAAGTCATCCAGGTGAGCCTCGTGCCAGGATGTGCCTGAAGCAGCTTCTTCTCTGCTTCCTGTAATTACCGCACTGAGAGGGCACGTCCGCAGTCTGTCAGCACCGGCTGACGGACGACTCTGGCAACGGAGACGGGAAAAAATTGTTCGGGTTGCTCTGATAAAATCTCAAGATTCCCATTCATCTGAACTTCGAATGAATTATCAATGAATTTCTGTAAACATTTTTTATCAATAACACCTCTCTTACTATCCCCCAAATGAGTTCGTGTCACTTTCTTGTCAGTGTAGGAAAGAAAACTGACCTTTAAACATAGTCATACAAGTCTAGAGATCAACAGCTTGTGTATTTGCTGTTTTTTTTTTAAAGGCAAACATATTTTCAACAATCTGAATGCATCTTAAAAAGTATACGCACAGACACGGGTCAGAGGAGGAGGCCTCTTATCAATCTGTGAAGGAGACTGACAAAATCCAGGCCTATGAAATTAAACTAGTCAACCATTTCATTCACATTCATATATACATGTACACCAGCACCCAGACATGGAATAAGGAGCGGAAAAAAGGGTTAAGAGGTCTGCTGAGTGTTGGTTTTGAGCACATTTTGGGCTGGATCTGAAATGAAATTGCACTTTTGAGTAGCGTGCTCTCTTCATTCAGAATGCACACACTCAGACACACACACACACACACACAAGCTTAGGCTGGTGTTGATGGATGCTCTGGGTTTGTTAAGTCATACATCACAGAGGTCGTTTGACCTGCCAACACATCTGCTGTCTCTGCCTACAGAAAGAGAGGAAGAGGTGGGGTGTGGAAAAGATTTATAAAGGCGAGGAGGAGAATTATGCAGGGTGAGAGAGAACGAGACTGTGATTAGAAAGTGTGGTGGATGAAAAGCTTTCATTCAGTGTCCCCCTGTCTCCCTCTCTCTCTCTCACACACACACACACACACACACACACACATCAGGCTGTGGGCCGTATTTTTCAACTTGCATTTTTATCTATGCTGTTTAAATTTAGTTTTTTCCTCTCCACCTCCAGCTATAGTTTGTCTCTTTTAACTGCTGACAATTAAGTTGCTTTAATCCATTAAAAAGCAAAGATATAACGAAATCACGTGTAGAGAGGCTTCCTTTTATTTTGACAATAACTGAGCTTTTCTGAAAAGCTCAGCTAATGCCTGGGAAACTTAGTGCCAAATCCAGATTAGTTCAGGAGGAGATGTCTAGAGTACCGAACATCCAACTTTTACTTCCCTTGATTCGCATAGGAAGTGTGAGCTAGATCAAATAAATGAGCATGGATCCCTCACAAGGACTAAAGAGGGATATCAGTAAGACAATATTCCTTTTTTTTTTCCTCTGAGAGACATGAACAACTCTCGGGGGGGTCTTGTTTACAACAAATGGTGTGATTCTGGATGTGTCAACAGTTAAGGAGTGTCCCTGAGCAGATGTACCCGCTTTTTCTGTAGTAACAATGACATCTCCACCAAACTGAACCGAAATTATTAGAATTCATAATCCATCCAATAGAAAACCACTCGCATCTGTTTTCCAGAAAGCCTGAATGTTTATGGAAAAGGAGTCAAAAGGCGAGAAGAAGAGGAGGAGAGTAGGATCTAAAGAGAGAGGCAGCTTATGCTACACATTTTAAGCCAGTTTCTCTCAGCTTTTTTAAGATGCCCAACAGAGACGGATGCTCTTCAGCCGCATCCACAGAGGAGAATTCGACCACCCTCACATGCTCACAAACTTCCTCGGAGTCTCTCCTTGATTAAATTCTGCTCTGACCGTGATCTCTGTTCTCTTCACCAATAACACTGTTCATTCCTCTTCACACGGCTCCGCGACAAGGAGATTAATTCACCAGCGTTCATTTTTCACCTTTTTTTTTGTGTGTCTTCTCTGTGTTTAATGTGCATGTGCTCGTTGATTGATGTGTGGAAGCCCAGAGGCATAATCATACACTTCCAGGTGTCATTTTTCACTTTGCAGAATTGATGGATGGACTTGGTGGATCTGATCCCGGCTAACTCAGTGTTGGAGGTCTGGGTCATCCTCTGGATGTGTTTGTGTGCCCAAAGGTGTCTTTCTGGCCAGCCGTCCATGTTTCTGTTTGATGCTGGGAGTGATTGAGTGGTCAGGTCCTTTCTGTCCCCACCAAAAAAAAAAAGCTCTTTGGGAGGTCTTTCCTTCCTATCCGAGAATGAAAAATAATCTTCCTTTGCAGTCAACTGAGTTGGGAATTAATTTTGTGTTGATTTATGCCTACATTTGTTTATCTAATTTTCTCTATTGTCTAAAGTTTTGTGAAAGTTTTGGAGCTGATTAAATTTGTTTTAGTCTCTAGAGTGACACGAAAGGTTTGCAAAGATCCACTAACGAAGCTTTTTGATTTAGGAAATAGAGCACAGCTATAGTCAACACCCAAATTCTGCAATTTTACAGAAAGGGTGATCCAGATTTACAATAAATGCCAAATAGCTCCTTCTTTACCTTTATCCTGAGTTTCTTTATTGGG